ACCAGCACCAGCATTAGCAGCAGCACCAGCAGCAGCACCAGCACCAGCACCAGCACCAGATGTATTAACTTAGAGGGGGGAGCAGGGTGCATTGACATGGGCGAAGGGCTTCGGGATCACGTTGTCATCTGCGTGAGGCTGAGCCAGGGTCCAGGCCATGACTAACTGAGACGACTTGTCGAGTTCTAATTGTCCGCCTATGTGTGCGTGTGTTTGCATGATTGCAGGAAATGCCATGACGACGAGTATTCTTTCTGCAGCAGTGTTTTCCATTATGGTTTGGGTGCTCCCGGGAAAAGATGGTCATGCTCTGCTCGCCCCGCCGTCCCCAAGAACCTTGGGTGGCAGCAACAGCAGCAGCCCTACCAACGATTATGAGGCATCCGGTGAAATGTCCGAAGAGGAAAGTTCGTCTGCCGATGCAAGCGCAGCAGAGAGCAGGAGTCCGTGCAGGGACAAAGGCAGCAGGTCGCGATCACGGTCCAGAAGGGGCTACAGTTTGTCATGATCTGGTGTGCAGTCTGACCGATCCTAGCCTAGAGCAAAGAGCTTTTGAAGCTGTGCCATGCTGATTCACTGATATATTACATTCCATCAGTCATCTTAGATCTAGAGTCATCTCCCAAGTGTTGCTGCAGCTTCGCCAAATGGTGCCTGTCATGTGGGTGACAATTTGATCATGTAACCCAAGCGAAGGCTTGAGGAAGCTTGCAGTGCCGCGTCTGTGCAATCACGTCGCCTGAAAAGTAGCAGTTCGCATGCCGCATGGCCGCTTGCTGGCCTGCATTCTGCATTCACATATCAGGGCATGTGCGCTCGTGTCGTGACGGCTATTGCCTATTGCATTGGTTTTGACCAGACGAGAAAGATTGTCGGCGGTTCAAACTCATAGCCGTGCCGCTGAAGCGGTATCTTGTTTTTCGAAAGCTGGTTCTCGAGCGGCCAAGTTCGGACGAGGATGGATGCAGTTGCAGGCCAAGCGGCGGCGTCGGCTCTGCTCGTCTTGGTATGCCTAGCCTGCAATCAGCGCGAAGGAGACATCGACAGAGTGCCGAGTCCGCAATAACATCTCTGAAGTTCCGTTGGAGGGCCGATCGGGCATGTCAAACATGAGTTGGGCTAGAGGCTACAAGAAGTATTGGAAAGAAAGGCTCAGCTTGCGATTGTGTCTCAAATTAATGCATCAAACAGACCACGCAATGCAATCCTATGATAATCCTATGACTCGTCGATGTCTTCTAGGACTCAAGCACAGGGCCAGGCTTTCAGAGCCGGTGGGCTAGACGCGGGCAGGTTTTCTCATTAATCTCTCTCTCTCTCTCTCTCTCTCTCTCTCTCTCGATGTGTTTCCTCTCTTGTTCTATTCCTTCCTACCCTGGTCTCATAGGAATCATCGGAATCCCAGCCCTCCCTCCAGCTGATGCTGATGAGATGATGCTCGTCACTCTGGTGACGGTATGACTACAGCCCTCTCAAAAGACCTACAATTTTGTTGGGAGCCATTTCCCAGAGCCGCTGTGGTTTGGAACCGTCATATAGTCATATGAGTCATAGTCATACAGTCTCATAACGTAGTCCTCTAGCCTCTACACCAAAAAAAGCTGATATGCTGGAAGGACAACCCACCTGGCCATGAGGAGCCCGTGGTGATGTTGAAAGAGGGTGGCGGATTGTGCCGACGATGCTACTACATCAAGCGAGGATCGTTGGCCAACATGCGTCTGTCCGAGTTGGTGCAGAACCTGCAAACCAACGACTCCTTTAAGGACAAGTTCGCACGGATGCGGGAGTCTGCCACGCAGTTCAGCATACTGCATCCAACTCGCAAGTGGAGGCACGAGAAACCTGATCTCAAGGTTCTCTTGGAGCGCAAGGACGAGGAGTATGTGGACGTTTCAGAGATCTACAAGTGGCAGTCTTTGAAAAAGTTCACTGACACAAACTACCCGAGCGAGAAGTTCAAGAACGATGCACAACGACGGGCGTTTTGCGTCCGTATGGGCGTGAAGCTCCAGGTGGACGACCGTGGAGTCGAGGGAGTTGCAATGCCAAAGAATGGTGTCTTTCATTTGAAACACTCCTTTGAAGCCTTTGAAGCACTTTGTTCTGTGGGGCGCGGGCTAGAGGTCCTACCCATTTTTTGCAGGGCCCACAAAATTGAGGGCTCTCCTAGGACCTATGGTCACATCAGGCGCAAAACCTCAAATAGAGCTGGTTTGGTGGCACTTCTCAGTTCCGACCGACGTTCCGTATCATGCTGTGCTTAGCAGTATCTGTCATCTGTCACATATCAGATCGTCTATCCAACCAGCCTATCTTATCTATTATTATCTATCTCGATTTCCATCGTTTGTATCTTTTTCGTGCTTTGTGACTGATGTCACAAGGCGAAGACGAGGAAAAGGAGATCAAGATCGGGCGTCGCATCAGCAGTGGAAAAATCAGACAAGAGGACCTGGGAGACGGCAGCGAGTACACCAGGGACGAGATCGCGGCTCTTCGAGCCAAGAATGCAAAAGGGATGGCCATGAATCTCAACTCGAAGGACGTGCTGGCACAAGAGTCTACATCACATGGCTTTATTGCTGCATGTGTCACAGCACAGTCTGTGACTGACATGGCAATGCGATGCTATGATAGACTGATATCGCAATACACACATTGTATTCTGACATACTGTTTCTCTTTCACTCTATGTCAATGTCGAAGTTCGATGTCTAGACATAGACTGTGTGGGCCTTCTCGAGACTCTAAAATTCCCGGAAGTTTAGAGCCTCGAGAAGCCTCTGGGTGGAGTACTACATCGGCCAAGGTCATGTGTGAACGTTGGTCTACACGGCCCCTGAAAACCCTCCCTTGGTCTGGGGATGATGACTCAATGATGACTGATGATCCAGTGATGGTTGCAGTGATAACACCTGTGGCAATGACGAAGGCAGTGAAGACCCTGATTCGATGATGGCGATGTGGGGGATGCCGCGTTTGCTGGATGTTGCCGGTGAGGATGCTGTATGATGTTGATGATTCTGATTCTGATGGGTGATGAACCCATGAGTAATGACAGCAATGTAACGTAGTGATGATTCAGTGCTCATGCTCATGCTCTCAGCGTCGACCTTGGTTGCAGAGGGTGAGGGATGAGAGGTAGCGGTAGCATGGTAGCAAATACATGATAGAAGCAGGGAGCATGCAGCATGCAGTGAAATTTGCAGCTTTGCAGGAAGAGATCGATGCAGCCACCAAGCAGAAGGCGGGCGAGGAGGAGGACAGTGGCATTGGTGCTGCTGATGGAGACGGTGACGATGCCAGCAGCACCTCTTCAGTGCTGGGCCTGGAGAGTGCCCCGGCACAGCGGGTGAAGTCCAAGACGAATCCGGCGGCAAAGACTGATGCTGGAAAGGCCCGGACAACAAAGGCTGCCAGTCCGAAGGCGCGGGATCGGAAATCGGGGCCACCCCCACCTGCCTTTGCCCAAAACCTCGAAACAACTCGCTCGGCTGTGAAGCAGATTACGATGATTGACGCAGCGTGCCTCTGGAGAGGTGCAATGCGTGAGAGCGAGATCACGTCTCGGATGAAAAAGGCAACAAGTGCTGTGGCCGAGCTGCAGCAGATTGCAGCAGCTAACCCGGATGAAGGTGGGTTGGCCTCCGAGTCCATGCGACTGGCCAGGGAGACCGAGCAACGTGTTGAGGACATCAACCTCTTCACAGACACGGTTGGTAAAGTGAAATCGGCCAAGCAGAAGTTGAACAGCCTGCTGGCGGACCAAAGCTTTGCTGAGAAGTTGACCAAGGCGCTCAAGATTGGGAGCATGGATTCCGAGACATTGTCTTCAGTCCTGCAAGCGATTGCAACGAAGATTGCCAACGAGGCCTGTGGTCTGTGGGGACAACTCGCTTCTTGGGATGTCTGACGTCTGTGATGTTAGTGACGTTGCATTGGTGATCCAATCCTATCGGTCGGGTTCCAGTTAGTCAGTAGGCTCTGCTACCTCGCTGTCTTCAGGCAGGCCTCCCTCAGCTTCTGCGAGTGATCTCCGTCGACGGTTCTGGGGATACGGATGCCGGTGATTTGCAATGGAACTTCGGGATGCTGTATGACAGCTCGGAGAAGATCGACCAGATGCTGCTGAGGACGCAGCTGACAGCTTTCCACAGCTGGCTCGACGGCGTCAAGACGATGGAGCTTGTGGATGCCACCGTGGCCGATTTGGGCAAGGATTGTGAAGCCCGGGGTCGCAATGTCACGGGGTTCAATGCGGATGATGGTGAGCAAGTCCTGAGGCAGGGGGTGAAGGAGGGATGTTTCTCCTGATTGATTAGGCCGCCCACAGTTTACAGTGAGTACGTCGAATGAGTTTGAGCTTCGGCAGGGCTGGCATCAAGCCTGGGCCCTTGTCGCTCTTCTTCAAGGATGACAAGATCTTCGACAACAAGACCGGGCTCAACTCACAGCTGCTGACCGACATGCAGAAGGTAGCGGCTGCTCTCCTTGCCCGCGCCTCATCCCGAGGTGATCCAATGACCAACTCGGAGCGGGTCTACTGCTCCCGGGTTGTTTCGGCAGACGGCTTCAGCTCACGGATCTCTTTGCTCATGCGGCAACCTGGCCCGTGGAAGCAACTTGCCTGTCTGAGTTGCGAGCCTTACGGTAGGGCCTGAGTCGTAGAATGAATCCACTCAATGATGTGCTGCATGGTGTCGTGATTGTTTTCTTTCGCAATCAGTGATCAGTGTTTCGAGGTCCATTTGGCCACGTGTGGTCAGCGAGGGCAAGGCAGCCCTTGCTGGTGATGCTTTGCTTGCGCAAGCGACGCAGCAGGCTACTGCATTGATGGCCTTGCTGACGGCATTGTCTGCGGAGAAGCAGGTTGATTCAGTTGAGCTCAGCAAAAGCCTCGATGCTTGTGGAACGGGCTTGGGAGTGCATTGCAAGGAGCTGCACAAGTTGGCCACCGAGCAGTCCGAGGCGACGGCTTCCGAGATCGAGGGCAACTTGGAGCTTCTGCGGGAGTACTGCGGAGGTGCTGGCTCCTGTGATGAGGAGTTGGCTGCAGCGAAGCTTGTGTTGCGGAGCTGTTGGGCTGAGGTCGGCCCCGATCATCTCAAGATTCAGGTCGATCCGATCAAGCATGCCACGGCCGCCGGCCATGCTCCCACTTTCGTTGACCGCTTGAACATCCAGCGTTCCTGGCATGAAATTGATAATTGTGTGAAATTGTGTGGCGTTCACATAGTCTGTGACTCACAATTCTCATAAAGCTTCATTGGCAGCCTCATTCCCTCATTCTCATTGTCATTCTCTACGAACAGCGGATACCATGCTAGAAGCGGGCGTAGTTGACAACGACGAGTCGAGTGATGAGCAGAAGTCACGAAACTAGTGATTCCGTCCCACTGATACAGAACACTATCCGACGAGAATATCATAACTTGTTTCATCTGTATACTGTATACTGTATACTGTATATCTGCTAAACCCAATCCATTGCCTCTACTTCGCCTCAAGACGACCGTGGCAAGTGCTGCGATCATCGTCGGTCTTATTGTTTTCGCTATTCCTCCTGCTGCTGCTGCTGCTGCTGCTGCTGCTGCTGCTGCTTGCTGTTTCGCTTTTAAGGTCGACTTCTGCAGCTCGTGGGCCAGAGTGGAAGTGACATCGCCCTGGCTTGTGCTGCCGTGAAGGAGGTGATTTCTTTCTACCAGGATTGCGCTGAGAAGACATCCGAGAGCGACTTGATGTGCAAAGCTGGCAAGCTTTTGGCTCGCTTCGGCTCGCTGCTTCAAGATGCCCCGGACGGGGGCGACGTGGCCGAAGCCCTGGGAGTTGCTCAGGCAGCCTTGGCATCCTCGTTGAATGAAGCAGGCTCGGCATGGATCAAGGAGCAGATGCAGAAAGTGGGAGATGCGGCACAGGTTGCCGCCGCCGGGCGAGAGATCTTCCAAGCGCCCACTCCATTCTTGGAGAGTTGCTTGGTCACGTGTGCAATGTCCAAGGAGCTGTGTGTCGAGGGCACTCTGGAGCTGGGCAGTTCCTTGCAAGACTTGGCGGCAGCGATGCCGCGCTACTCGAAGGTCATGTCTATCAGCTTTGAGATGATGCAGAACCTCTGCCCAGACCACATTGCGAAGTGCGGCAACTTCTGCAAGGAAGTGGATGCCAAGCTTTCCGAGTTCGCCGATGCATTCAATGCGAGCTTGGTCCAGCAGAAGAAGTTGGCCGGGAAGTACATGTGCCAAGACGGGGTTATGTGGTTTATGAAACGGTTTACGTATGTTTATGAGTTGAGTTGGGCTCTTTCGCCCGACGTGTCGGTAATGTTACGTAATGGGTTAGTAATGGGTCCTGAGGCCGGTCCAGAAGGCTGCAGCAGCATGGACGATGGATGATTGCATGTGGATGTTCCAGAACAGCGACGATGTCAAGGCCGACACGGAGATGATGTTGGAATTGTGTACCGAGATCAGCGAGATGGCCAAGAGCTTTGAAAAGATGCTGGTGATTCCGAATGGCTCCGATGTGTTCAAATCGTTGTGTTCAAGGGTCAAGCAATACTGCCAAGAAGCCAAGGACTTGCAGGGCTTAGTTGCTGCAGTTATAACGTTATAACTACAACTGCAGGGGGTGGCCTAAAGCTGTAGCTTGTTATTGACAGGATCTCCGCCAAGAGGTCGCCATCACCATCGGCGTCATGATGGGCTGTGACGTCTTCTTGAACGAACAGTTTGCCAGCTCGCAGAAGGAAGCCGTGCCACAGGTGTTGAACTACCTCACTTCGACGCTTGGTGTGACAAAGAAGGACTTGGCTCAAGTCTCTAGCCGACTCGTGTCGCAAATGGATGCTGTGCGTCCTGAAGCAGCGCAGCTTGCTGGACGGAAGCGTCCTAGTGAGCCGGGGTCAGGCTCTGAGCCCAAAGCCAAGACAGGCAAGACACCCAAGGTAAAGGGCGAGTCAAAGGAGTCGAAGGCTCCTGAGTCTGCCGATGTGAAGAAGAACAAGAAGCGTCGCCAAGACAGTGTTACAAGCCTTCCCAGCCGTTCGAGCACGGGCTCCAAGAAGAAGGCCAGTGGCACTGAGAGCTAGTCAGCCAGCTTGTGGCCCAACCAGAGCATGCAATCGAATGTATCTCGCAGTCTCTTCTTGCCGATTCCGGGGCACTAGCTGCATGGCCATGAGAGTTTTTGAACGGGACTGTCGCGCAAGCGATTGCAGAAAACAGCCTGGCTCATTCCTGATTGCTGATTCCGATTCTTTTTTTATAGAATTTTTTAGAGAAGAGTGCAATAGAATTCGATAAGCACGATTTACATAGTTTTCTTATTTCACTACATGTCGCAGTTGTGTCTTCACAGGAGCAGATCCAGAGATGGAAGCACGGAGGGGGAAGCCCCAAGACCAAGAGTTGTGGGCCCGAGGTTCCATTAAGATATCCTAAAATTATGAAATAGATCCTGAGATTTCCAAATAGCTTCCGAGATGAGTGTCAGGCCCAGTATATAACCAACACATAAACAGACCAACCGAGACTCCAAATTATTGTAGCAAGGAGGATTTTCCTCCGGCCCTCCAACCGCGACATAAAGAGGTGGCCAGGGTGATCCTCTACTGGGGCTTGAAGTTCCCAGGGATTCCAATCTTGCTTAGCAAAAAGGATGTCAGCGATGCTTTCAAGTGGATTCCGGTAGCCCTTCCAGATAGCCGGTTCTTTGCCGCTGACCTTCCTGCTAGTTACCTCGATTCCGAGTTCGATGCAACCCTCGTCTATGGGTTTATGACCTTTGGATGGAGAGGGGCACCCGGCGAGTACATGGCCTACGCTTGGGTACTCAAGGCAGCCCATGAGGCGCATGGGCCCAGCAACCCCGATTGGGAAGCCACCGATGTCGCCTTCCACTCCTTCGTCCTTATGGACGACTCGGTGCTCATAGAGCCCGACATCGGCATGAGGCCCTGGATCTCTGTCGAAACCGCCGAAGCGGTCACTAAACAGACCCTTGGCCCAAAGGCCATCAACCCGGAGAAGGACGAAGTGGAAGGAGCTCTCGAAACCAGGAAGCTTATTTGGGGCCTCAACTACGATACCCATAGAGGGACAGTTAGCCTGCCCTCTGTCAAGGTTGAAAAGGCTTTCCATTTGCTCCACCTTCCGGAATTTGATTTTGGATGTCGGCGGGTTCCGCTGCGGCTGATCCAGGAGCTGAGGGGCAACCAGCAGTACTGGCTGGCGGTCTTCCCTGGTCTGGCACCCTATCTGGGCGCCACAAACGATCTTCTGGGACCCCCGGATGCTGAGGGAAATGCAGTCCCCAAGGGAAGAGAACCTGAGGCCGTGTGGCGACGCTTCTGGGAGGCTGTCGAACTGCAGCGGGTGCTTGTGGACTCCCAGGCGATTTGGGAGTCTCGTTTCTCGCACTCACTCCTCGGGGCCCTCACGCTGCCAGAATATCTCTCCTTTCCAGGACTACGAGACCGTGTAGTCTGGGCTTCTGGTGATGCCACGACGGAGGTCGTCGGCGCTATTGATTGGGACGCTCGGGTGGCAGTCGTCGAACCTGTGAGCGACCTTTGGAGCCCCCTGCAGCTTCTGCTTAGAGACTCCACCCAACCCCAGGAGCAGGGGCCCGAGGGGTGTTTCACCCCCGGTCCCCATCCGGTTGGCCAGGAAGAAGAAGAAGAGGTCATGATCTCTCTAGCAGAACTCCTTGCCGTGCTGGCCTTGGTGTCAGCTCGCTGGAAGCACTGGACGGGCAAAGTGGTCGTATATGCTGGAGATAACCAAAATGTGATTCGATGGATTGCGGCAAGGGAGGCGGGACCAGCCGCCGCACGTTTCCTGCTCCAGGTTTTGGGAGCCGCGGAGGCAGCTGGGCATTTCCGTTTCTTTGCTGAGTATATTCGAACGTATCACAACGTTGCGGCAGATGATCTTACCCGGCGTCCGCCTGAGGAGGTGTTGCGAGAGAACAAGCTGGAAAGGGCGCAAGCGTCCGAGCACCTGCAGGAGCTGCTAAACCGCCCCTGGGCTCGGAGGGCCCTGATCTGGTCCACTATGGAGGACGACGATCGCAGCGCGGCCCTTCAGCTCAGTATCCGCCGCAACCCGCCGGGCCCGCCGGCAGGCGTGACTGGGCCGCTGAAGCTGCGGGTTTTCGAATTCGCCGAGGGCCCACCCGTCTACACCCGAGAGTTGGCCAAGGAAGGAGCCGAGTGTAAGCACTATCAGCGTGCGGATGCCGCCTGGTCCGGACCCACAGCCCCAACCTCGCCCCAAGGAAAATGGGACGTCGTTTGCTGGTCATTGGGTAGGGGTGGTTCCTCGGTTTCCCTTGAAGAGGTCCTCAGGTGCCAACCTAAGGTTCTTATCGTTGATTCCCTCACTAGTCCCGGGCTGAAAGATATCGAGCAGGGTCTCAAGGAAGGTTGGGATGCTAGGGTTGACCTGCTGAGCGGAAGAACCTTTAGGGATCAGGTCTGGTGGCGTAGGTGGGCTCTTGTTGCGGTCAGGAAGGGTCTTGTTCAGGGTCCCTTTCCTAGCTTAGGGATTACCATCGACGAGGAGCCTGCTACGCTCCCGTTGGTGAAGTATAACCTAGACTGGAAGCTCCCCGACCCCTCTGTGCCCCCTGAAGCCTGGATGCCTGGGAGCCTCAAGCTTGACTCTTCCCTTCCCTACCTGAAAAGCGCTACCCCCAAACCGGTAGGTAAGCTCCAAGCCCCCCAAGGCTCTTCTAGCCTCCTCGTTTGGGACCCTACTAGACCCCTTCCGGCGCCCCACGACAACTCCTGGAACCCTGAACACCCCCAGCCCTTGCTTCTTTTAGGTTCAAGCCCCGAGGGTGTAGGAGCTAGGACTCTGCAGCCACGTGAAGCTTGTGTTTTGCTGGGGGGTAGAGTAGAACTACTCCCGTCTCTTGAGCCTGCGCAGCTGGCGGCTCACCTGCTTTGCGCCACACCTGCAAGTCTTGCCCGCTCGGTGGGACCTTGGCTTCGCTCCTTAGGGCGAGGACTGCTTCAGTCCCGGGCTCCGAGCTGAAGCCGCCTCCAACCACAGGGCCGGGGTGTGCCGACTCCCTTGGGAGGAACACACCAAACAAGCGCTGATGGTGTGGTTGGAGGGTAAAGGTAAAGGCCACTCGCGTGAAAGGTCCTGGGACGGGCGCGTAGGAGGTAAAGGCAAGCAAGGAGGAAAGGAGGGAAAAGGGAAGGAAGGAAAAGGAAAAGGGAAGAGCTCCGGAAAGGGGAAAGGGAAGGGCAAGTCCCCTGAAGCTCAGATGGACCATGCTATCACTAGGATTCTGAGGCATGAAGGTTCCATCGGCCCGGATGGGACGAACCTGATCTCAGAGGAAGGGTGGCTGCCAGTGGAGAGCCTTCTGAAAGAGCTCCGAAAGGAGCCGGCAGCGAATCAGATAGATGTCAACTTCGAACTGCTGCGGAAACTCGAGAAGGCCAACAGTAAGAGCCGATTCCTCCTCCGATGCCTGGGAGGATCCGAGGAGCGTTTCGCTCCCGGATCCTCCTCAAGAGAGGATTTGGAGTCTTGGTATGTGGCGGCCTGGTCAGGCCATACCATGCCAGGCGTTGTCGGCCCTGGAGTGGTGGATGATCCGCCAGAGATTCTCTACCACGGAACTTATCGTTCGAAAGTTCCGTCTATCCAACACTCTGGCCTTTTGCCGCTCCGACGAGCAATACACCTTCAAGACCCTAGGTGTACCAACGGCAAATGGCGGGCCGATTTAGAAGTAGCCGTCGTCGTGAGCACCAAGGAAGCGAAAGCTTCCGGCTGCATATTCAGGCGCACTGGTAACGAGATATGGTTAACAGCCCAGGCTGTCCCTACAGACGCCATTGTTGCGTACGCGCCATGGACGCTCAAGGCAGGCAGCAGCAAAGGCAGCTGGGACACTGGGGGCGCGGGTCTAAGGGACCCCAGCCAGGCCGAGCTTAACGCCTCAGAGCGCAGTAGCCCTGCAGCTTCTTCCCAGGCTCCTCTCCCTCCTCGGGGCGAGGAACGCGAGGCGGCGACGGAGGGACCCAAGCTCAATCTGCGCGATTATCAAGGTGGAGTGTGGGGAGCCAAACCCAACAAACCCACCAATATACTTGATGTCGTAGCGGAAGCCGCCGTGTCCCTGGGTTCCAACCTGCGTGCCGGACAGTCGGTTGAGGTGGATCCAGACACTTGGAAGGTCTCGCCCCTCGGCCCTTCAGGCGGGATGGATGGTTCGTCGGAGGAGGATCTCCCAGACTACGAAAGGTCTTCAGGCGAGGATTCCGAGGCCGATGTAACAGAGCAGATGGGAAGTATGTCTCTTGCTTCGTCGGCAGTTGACCGGGGGCCCGAGGACCGTTCCGGTCCCGGAACCCTGTCGGAACAGCCACGAATGAGCAGACGGCCAGCACTACCCGAAACCCTAGTACTTCCGAGGAACCCATCTCCAGGGCACGGACCGAAGAACGTGCTGGGGTAGGGGCGGAGGTTCGAGAAGCTGCCAACCTGCCAAAAACCGGTAGGGGGGAAGGCAAACAAAGCTCCCCCAAGCTCTGCTACACACGCTGGCTCGAGCCTGGGACCTCGAAGTGGGGAGGTCCAACCCAGCCTGAAGGCCCCCCCTCCTAGCTCTCACCGGGGGCCGGGAGGGGAGGCTCCTCTCTCCGCAAAGCCTAAGCCAGAGCCGAAGGCACCACCCCCCCACCTGCTGGCAGAGGCACTTCCCAAGTCTGAGGCGCCAGCCCCTGCTGACCAACCGGAGGGCGCAAGCAAGGAGGCCAAGCCGGCGACCAAAGCTGAACCAAGTGCTAAGGCGCCACCGCCCCATCTTCTAGAGGGAGTGCCTCCCGAGTCTGAGGCCCAAGCCCCCACCGAGGATTGGGAGGAAACTAGGGAGGACGCGCGTATGCCACCCAGCCCGACTGGGGGCACACCCGCTCATGGATATGCCAAGCCTACCTCGCAGGTACCGCTGCCTCGCCTTCCGACAGCCAAGGCGCCGAAACTCGAGCGGGTACCCGAACGTACCCAAGGAAGGAGCCGCTGCAACGCCCAATCGCCCTGGGGAAGTTAAAGCTGAAGAGTCTTCCCAGCCACCTCAGGTTGCCGAAGCTTCAGCTGCCAGCAGTAAGTCCACGGGGGCGCCAACCTCGGAGAAAGAGGCTGTTTCGGACCCCGTCACCTCAAAAGCTGAGGAACCCGAGGGCCGTTTCGGCCCCAAAAACCCAGTACGAAGCTCGGAGGACACCTCGACGAGGCCCAAGGAAGAAGGCGCCCCCGATACTGGCGAGCGTGCCGAGGACGACCCCACGCAGGCTAGGCCCTTGGTGCCTGGAACCGGGGTCAAACTTACGGCGCCAAAGGTGAGTCTGTTAAGGGCCGTCGCGGAAGCGGACGCAAAGTCTTGGAAGGGCCTCACGGCAGCTCTTCAGGAGGCTGCGGGAGACGGCGAGACCAAGTCGCAGCTCGTGACCGACCTGGAACGCCTCGCAGCTCAGCGTCGGGAGGCTGCAACTGCCTCCCGGGCAATGCTCGACTCTAAGGTCAAGGACCTTCGAGCTCTGGAGGCGAAAGACGCCGAGTACCTTCCAGAGCTCGACACCCAAGGAGACGCTATGCGGGAGCTGGAGAAAAACAATCCGGTAAGGCCGTCGGTCACCAGCAAGCCGCTCAGCTCAGACCGCCTCACAGCAGCCATCCAAGGAGGCACCAGCATCTGGGTAGCGAGGAAGCAGGAGAAATCTCGCCGTCGCGCCCAGGAGCACCGACTCCGCCTTGAAGGGGAGGCGGCTCAAGCCAGGGCAGCTGGCGAGCCAGCGGAAGAGGGAGAGCCCACGGGCGAAGGGCTCGATGCGCGTATGCGCGCCGCTGCTCAACGGGAGATTAGAGAATTCAAAGAGCTCCTGGCCACCGAAGGAACTCGCAAGAGCAAGCGAGCCCCCGACTCCAAGCGTCGCCGAAAGCTCAAGAAGCAGAAGCGTAGAGAGCGAGAAGGGGGACCTGGCAGGAATGATGACGCCGAACGCGACACCAACCACGCCATTGCGCACCAGGTCTCTGAGGAAACTCAGCTTGGGACCTTTGAAGGGGGTTTCGAGGGCCGTTTCGGCCCCGTAACCCCCCCAGTGCCGACGGCCTCTATGGTACCTTATGTCGTGAACGGGAACCGCGAACCCAACGGACCTCGCCACCGTGAGACACAGCCTTACGACTACGCCTGGGAGACGGGTGTCTTCGAGGGTTTCGTAGCAGGGGTTGTCGCATGCCTTGTGTGGCAGTTCTGCTGGAGAAAATGTTGTAGGTGCAAGCGGCGACCAGCAGCACGGCACAACAGCAACAACGAAGGTGCTCCTTTGGCCGGGGAGGACCCGATCGAGATGCGGGAGACGAACCGTGGAGCACCAACGCCTCTCACGGCCCCAAAAGCCAAAGCACCGCCTCCGCGCCGGCGCATGATCGCGGACAGGCCACTTCACTTACCGACCCAGGTTGGTGCTGCGCAAGGAGAAGCCCCCCAGGGCAGCCTCTTCCGTCGACGGGGAGGTGACTTAATCTTCGTAACTCCACGAGGTACTTCCTACCACCGCTCGAATTGCCCACACCTGGGTGGCCACGAAACGGTCTTGTTCCGAGCCTGCGTCGTGTGCAACCCCACTGAGACCATCCCCATGCCCAGCTCCCGCAACCCTACGCAACCGCATGGCGGGCAGGCCGAATTGGCTGTGGCTCGTGGAGAAACTGAGTTTCATTCGCCCACTTGCCCCTTGCTCCGTCCTATTCATCGCAGGGTGCAGCCATGTCGGGACTGCGGGCCTGAAACCAGTTGGACTTACGCCCTGGCCTTAGAGCGTCGCAGGCATGACGACTCAGACAGAGATACCAATCACGCCATTGCACATTGGTTTTTGGTATTTCTAGGAGCATGCTGGCTTGTAGGCGCTTTCTGGGGCTGGTGTGCTTGCGGATCCGAGGGATGTTTCATCCCCGGATCCCAAGAGCACCCAGCTCAAAAGGGCGGAGAGGATGAGGTGTGCAGGGTCGCAGGGGAGCCCAAACAGGTCAGGTTTAAGCCGAACCTAGGAAAGGGAGAAGAAGTAGAAGGACCCTCTTTTGAAAGGCTCTCCGGACCTTTTAGAAGACAAAAGAACCCTCCTTTTTTGGGAGGTCCAGCCACCGCCAAAAGGCTTTGGGGAACCCGTTCGGCCCAACCTCAGGTCCCTCTCCTCAGCAGAAGTGACTTTGAAGCGGCAGCCCTCAAAGCTGCCATGGACCGGTTAGCCTCGGGCACCCAGAAGGCCTATGAGGGCCAGCTTAAATGGTGGAGGTTGTTTTGTGCCAGGAGGAACGTTGGCTGGCTTTTACAGGGACGGGATCCTCAAGCTGACGAAGACCTCCTGGTTGACTTTCTCCTTCACACTGCTGTGAATGGGGGAAGAGCACCGGGAACGTTGAAAATGAGGCTAGCAGCCATAAAGTCGGCTCATGTCTCGCTGGGGCTTAAGGACCCTCTGGAGCAGAAACCCAGACTTCTCCTTATCATGGCAGGCTTTAAAAAGCGTTATGCCACGCCTTCCCGGCGCCTCCCCGTCACTCCGGCTATGCTGCTCTTTCTTTTTGAGCAGCTTTGGGGCTCTGCCAAGGAAGAAGCACCCAGTCTTTGGCTCGCCCTTTGCCTTGGGTACTTCTTTCTGTTACGAGCGTCTGAATTCCTCCCCGTTATGCATCTCCCGGACTCGCGTCATTTAAAGGGAGGAGACCTGGTGCTGCGCACAGGAGGCAAGCTCTGCGACGTTGCCTCCCTGCGCCAAGCCGACGAGGTAGTCATACATTTAAGGGGGAGTAAGACGGACCGCTACAACCGTGGCGCCACCCGCAATCATTTTCGTGGCGAGCCGCCTCTGTGCCCGGTAGATGCAGCCATCAGGATGTTCGTGGCATACCCTGAAAGGTAGTTTGGCATGGAAGAATCTCATCTTCCCCTGTTAAGACTTGTGACCAGGGAAAGTTTGCAGATGATGATTGCCAAAGCAGCCTCCCACTGCGGAATGCAAGGAGCAGTTGGAGCTCACTCCCTTCGCTTTGGAGGGGCCTCAGCGCTCTGGGCGGCCTTTCAGAATAGCGCTAAGCTCCAAAGGTTTGGGCGCTGGACATCAGATATCTATCACGAGTACATCTGGGAGGCTCGTGACTCCGCAA